TCACATATAGTCAGTGGGCATATTTGAAGACTGGCTATAAATGAAATCATTTAACTGAAGGAACATTTTATTCAGGCCAGTCTCAACTCCCTACACTGTAGATCGGATATAATCCAACGCCCTTCGTGGTATTAGCCAGGGGAGTAGTAGGTGTCACTTTTAATGGACTGACACCTACAGTGTAGGGAGTTGAGACTGGCCTGAATAAATTGTTCCTTCAGATGATTTGGTTCAAGATTTATTACCAAAAGATGTATTGAAGAGATGTATTATTAAATGCTGCTAGAAATATTGAATTGTGTGGAGGCATTTGTGAAATGTTCCACCGCATCAAGATACGAAAAGATGGCATAGGTACACCGCAATGTATATTTTTGAGGAGCTTTTATAGAGGTAGAAACATTGAAATGCTGGTAGAGAAAGATTGATTCTGTGGAATTATTTCACGAAATTGGGATACAAAGGAAGACAGATGAGCTCAACGTTTACTTTGGAGGACCTTTTATAGGAAAAGATACTCTAACCACATTCTCACCATGTTGTGCTTTTTATAACAAAATTGAAAACGTACATTCACGGAAAACTGAATGTTCAGAAAAGATAAAAGAAGCAATATTGAGTAAGGGAACATAAAGAAGTCGGTTGGGGCTAGATCTAATGATCAAGCAGTTCCAACCATTATTCGTGGATCTTCGCCATGCCAACCGTTGAGGTGTGAGATGGTGCGTTGCCTTGGTGAAACAAGTTTTTCTTTTTCTGCCAATGTGGCCGTTTCTCCGCGAGTTCTGCCTTCAGCTTGTCAAGTAATGATGCACAGTATGCTCTTTCAATGGGTTTCCTTTTTAAAGATAATCAATTGAAATAACTTCGTGACTATCCCAAAAAACAGTAACTTTCCCAGCCGAAGAAACAGTTTCTGCTTTGTTTGGAGCCGGTTCCTCCTTTGCAGTCCACTGTTTGGACTGCATTTTTGTTTTGGGCGTATAGTTGTGTATCCAATGGTGTACAGTAATCAATTGGCGCCGAAACTCGGATTTATTGCGCCAAGAGAGCGTTGGACATGTTCACATCCTCTGCCATCTCTCTCACCTCAACTCGGCCGTCGTCTAACACCATTTGTTGAACTTGGTCGATGTTTTCATCGATAGTTGCAGTTTTTGNACAAGAAAATTAATACGGAACTTGTACCTTGGACATTTCAAGTTCGTGCAGAAGAATGATCCTTAACATATGACGATACTCTTGTTCTGCAACTTGACAGTTTTTCTCCGAACTGAAAGATACGCGCACTTTAAGTACTCCCTGGCGAGTGACTTTATTTTTCTTGTCTAAACTGTACCACATTGTCATTCCTGAGGCGGGAACAGTCTGAAACAACAAAAAATGAATAACAAACCCAAACGTTCAACACAGCATTAATTTATTATTTCTTTTATTAACTTACGCTGAGTGGGATTTGTGCCCTGCCTATTAGCTCATTTTCATGCTGTCCAGTTGTCGCTGTTACTGCAATTTCTTTCATTAGTTTTCGCATTCCCTTTACTCCTTTGACTTCAAATATTTTTCCCAATTTTTCTTTCACTGATTCGGCTGGATCGAAGTCCCACACTTCTAGACATAATGTGTCTTCTAAAGTGTTTTCTGTGATGGGCCTGAAAAATTGGTGATTAAATAATGAATGTGGAAATCAGGTTGCCAAGCTATTTGATCAACGGTATCCATGCAAGTCCTCACTTCTGATTGGTCCGCACGACGAAGCTAGTATCTCGAAGTCTCAACGACTGACTGGGGAGCTCCGTGTTCACTCGTATTTATTATATTAGGGGAAGGGGGTGTGTACATGCGAATGCCCACTCCTGATTGGCCTGCACTTGTGATAGGTTGTTCTGTTTGGTCTACGTTGTCGGCAGGTATGCTGCTGGTAGAATGTCGATCGAAGTTGTATCCTGGCTTTCTTGAGCACTAGATACCACGTTTTGTTAACCCGTGTACCTTCTTTTTTTCTGTTGAAATTGTTGGGATGCTTATGGATCTCAATCAGAGTATTGCACAGTTGATAAGTTGGTTGTAAATTTACAGGATACAAGAATACAAGTGTAGCTGTCGTCTTATGCAACCGAAGAAATCCGTAATTGCAAAATATATCTTAGCAGAAAAAACCACGCAATGAAATACGAAAGCTGCTGCCTTGTCTAATACAATGCATTATCATGGGCGTCTTCATTGGGAGGCCATTGGTTGGTATCCCAACAATTTCAATAGAAACGTGGTATGCAGTACTAAAAAAAAATCAGAAATGAACTGGAATGTAACTCCGATCGACATTCTACCAGAAGCATACCTGCCGACAACGAGAACCAATTAGAACAAGTGCAAGTGCGTACCAATCAGGAGTGATGATTCACATGGACCCACCCCACCCTCTAACGGTATAAGTAAGAGTGAATCCGGAGCTCTCCAGTCCCTCAGTTGAAAGGGTAAGGGAATATTTTCCAACCTGATTGAAATGAAGATGACATGCTGCTCTCCAGTCAGTCGTTGCTGACACTTCGAGATATTAGACCACAGCCAAGATTGTGTTTTCTTTATAATATGCCATGAATTATACACTTATACAAAAAAATTTACTACTGCGAGAGGCGAGAGTCAGAATTATAAATATATATTTCGTATTTCATTGATATTCAAATCGATTAGTGCAGGAACTAAGACGTCTTTGATGCAACTTTGCGAAATTTTTGAGTGAACTAGTGACTTTCTCAATCATTTATTTTCATAGGTGAATTTTGATACCATGGGTTACATTATTGCAATTTTCGTGGATCTCTAATTTTTTTGAAAATAAAATACATACTTGGACTAGTGCACTTTCTTTTTGAACGACAATTGTTACTAAGCTAATAACAATTCCAGTGTTATTCACATTTCTGAGATATAACGAATCAAAAAGTTGGAAGAGTTGTAATCATCACAATATCATGTTTTCACAACGTTCACAACGTGAAACAAGTTTCAGTATGCATGTTTCATTAAAAATTCTCGAAAAGAAAAACGAGTGCAATTAGCTTGTCTTCCTCCAACGTCAGCGACTGCTTATTAACATCTTTTACGGGTATACTACCAAGTTCAAATGTGGCTTGGTTATAAAAGACTGGGATTGTAAGTTGGTCGACAATAAATCAGAACCAGTTCAGACCTGCGCCGGAAAAACTGCTAAACTTCATTTCTTGCATAAATTGTATAATATAAAAGGGCGGAGTTCACTTCATTCAGAGACGAGACCTCCACTCAACCCCTAAAATGCTGCTCTAACTTTATAAACCTCATAGAAATATTAGCATCATTATACATTCTTCCAGGAATGAACGTTTCAAGTTTACATAGAAAAAGGAATAACGAGAAAAAAGTTAAGATTGGCCAAAAAGATATTTCTTGTACTTTAATTTGAATTTTGTTAATGTTGGACATTTGGGATCCAGAGGTTAAAGAGCTGTATTTGGTACCAATTTGGTATGAAAATAAACGTTAGAAAAATTCAGTTTTGAACTTTGGTGGCGTTAGTTTACTTCTGAATCTTACATTTACATGGTTTTTTGGTAATTTTGTAGAACAAACAAGCAGCACGAAAGTCTTCTCTTCTTCATATTCAACCATCCAGCAGTAATTAGTTTTATTTGAAATTCTTTCGCGTCTACAAACACCATATATAAGTCTTAGGCAAGAGTTTTGAACTATTGAACAGGACTTTTGAAACATATCAAGGCCATAAACGCAGTCAGCAAAATCAAAAATAGACAATACTATCGAATTCACAGAAAAGTACTTTTATATCTGTCGTTAAAAAATGCCTGGCTCCATATAATGTTTTCAGGGGTAGATAAGATCTCTGAACAAGTTTATTTATGTGTTTTTCGAATCTCAAATTACAATCTATCTCTACACCAACGTTTTTGGTGTTCTACAAGAGCTAATTGGTCACTATCAATTATCAATAGTAATTTTGATATCTTGAGAAAACGGTAAATTGTTCTTTGAGAGAAATAAAATTATGTGAGATTTCCTAAAATTCATCTGAAGACAATGGTTTGGTGTCTTTTGTATGAAGTTGTAGAGATTTTTATTATTTAGTAACAATTTATTTTCCCAAGAAACATACATTACTTATAGCAGGGAAAAACAATAATTTCAAAAACTAATTTTCAAACGAATACAAAAAACTCAGGAGTTTATAAATTCATTTGAAAAATGTAACTTTAGTTACAAACATAAGTGGTATAAAAACATAGAAAGAATGAATGTCATTACGATGTCATCGATGACATAAGTAGATTAAACTTATTTCATGACATAAAAAATCGTAAGGCAAGTGTCTTACGGCGAAACATCGATGTCTACCATTGAGGATGACATTGTTCCATGTAAGTGCAATTTGTTACCACATATCAATCACAGGAGTAGAACTCCTGTGAATGATATCTGATTTTATTCCACAACGAATGTTTGGAATACAAGCTGAGTTGGGAAAAGTATCTTCTGTATAATTCAGTGTTCATATAAAAGTATTTGTTTTGAAAGAATTTTTTTCTTTCGTGTAATTCAATGTTTATATGAAAGTAGCTGTTTCAGAAGGGGTTTCTTCCAGTTTGTGTCTGAAAGTTGCTTCTTTGCATGATCTATACATCCATGTATAGAGTTACTCATTTTCAAATTGATTACTTCATTTCTTCTTCTTTCCTCTTGTATCAAGATGGAGTAGTAGAAAGCCAAAAACCCTTCAATTCATGGAAAGTTTTGAATCTCATTCTTCATGATTTTTTTGATACTCCTGATTATGAAAATCTTCACCTGATTCTTGATGGGTTTTTAAGTTCTAGTGAAACTGAGTACTTTCATCCAGGAATCATTTGACTTTTGACTGTTCTGAATATTTTCATTTCATTTCATTCACTTCCATAAAAAATTGCTTTGAATTTCATAGACAAAAAAAATAAAGGTCATACCTGATGTATCAAATCCGCAGTTTCCAAGCCGTTTATCCTTAAAATATTGTCAGTCCGTTTCAAAGAATTACAATTATCACAGTCGTCAGGATTCTTGAACGATCCTATCATCAGTTTAAGTGTTTTGCGAAGATTTTCGAAAAACGAAGGTGGTCTTCTATTCTGAAAACAAAGAATACAAATGTTTTCATGAAATGAAACTCTCATTAAAGTCGAATCTTAAGTTTTTGAAACTCACATCTAAGTTTGATTGAATTATTTCTCCCAAAGTCACAGCCAACATGTCCCAAACAATCTCCAACGTTCTGTCGAAATTTTCCTCATTCAGTTCTCTGTGTAAGGTGCTTAAATTATTGTCAACGTACATCATGAGTCTATCAATACTGTTGCTGTCCTGATTACACAGTTCTGCACCTTCAATCAGGAGTCTTTTCATCGATGGCATCATCTGAAAAATAACTCGTAGAGAAATGTACTGAAAGTAAGTTGTTCCTTACCTTAAATACGACAGTCTCTAGTAACTCAAGAATTTTGTTCCTTACTGTGTCAATTGAGTTAGCGATAACTGTGTCCAGTGTTTGTTGACATCTCTGAGCCTCAAGGGGACTTTTAAGATCCGAGATTTTCTTGATTATATCATCCATTCCCAAGTCTCTGGTGAACGGTTCCAGAGTTTCCCGGATATAATCAATGTTGTTTATTGCAAGACACCATTCGTTCGTTACTTCGAATTTTTTCTCATAAATGTCCTGCGTATGTCCTAGACCATCAACTCTAGCCGACATTTTATCAGCATAAAATACGCTGCATCGGCAGATGTCCTTGGAGAAAATCACAAATGAAAATTAGGCATTGCCATTCATAGAATCAATTTTTTGACCAAATCAAAGTTTTCAAAGGAAAAAGTATAGTTCAATTTCTGAACTATGACTTGGGCTTAGCAGGATTTTTCATAAATACAGCAGTAACTTACGTCAATTATTTTTGCAATGAAAGAGTAGCAGCTCTCGATATCTGGCCAGTTCAGTTGTTGCCAAAAAACTTTAACCTGAAAATAATAAATTGCATCAATTGAAAACAATGTCAAAGAGATTTATTTTTGAATTTCTGACTACAAAGTGAATGTTAAGACATACAATCATTCACTTGTCCAAAGAAATCAATAAGTCACAGCAAATAATAAAAACTATCTTAATCCAGGGCTATTGCAAAATGTTGCCATCGGATCTGCCTTGCATTGGTTACAAAACCAAACCAAATGTATAGTCGAAGTAATCTTTATTGTGAACACTTGAAGCTATCGGCGCCCTCAAAGGCCAAAAAACCAATACAAAGAGATAACGCCGCTGCCAGCTAGTGCACGTGGACTGAAGAATTGGCGGTTCGTATTGGATGATTTTTACTAACCGAGTTTTATGATTGGCTGAAGAGTCATAAAATTACATTTTGAGGTCATGTTACGGTGTCGTGTTGTCAATGTTTAGTTCAGGAACTGATCGCGATTTGAGTGTTTAAAATTCGATATTGGTGCAGTTATAATTAATTAAAATTTTTGTTATCTGTTTAAAATGTGGCGTCCTTGGACAAGTACTAATAGTAATAACGAGTGTGATAACAACGCAGACTTTTTCCTGTGTAGTGATTCCACTAGCGATGGTGAACAATGCGAAAAAGAGATACCAGTGAATAAGATTCGGATGCATTTGAATATTGAAACACAGAGAGTATGTTTCAATGTGTATAACAATCTACATCTCAAGTTTGGTTTCGAGGGAAATAAACTATTATAAGCAACATCAGATTTGACCGAAATTCCTTTCTCAACTGTACGTAAAATAGTCAAAAACAAACCTTATAAACGCAAGACGCGATGTGATACGGGATTACCAAAACCTTTAGATGTTCATCTAATAAAATCATTGATGAACACAATATACGACTGTTACAAAAGCAATGAGATTCCTACAACTAAAATTATAAGGAAGAAATTGATTACTTCCGGTCATAACGTGAGCTGCTGTGACAAAACTCTTCAGAATTGGATAAAGAAACTAGGATTTAGATTTAAAATAATAAATAAACGTCAAGCAGTTATGGAAAGCAGAAGAATGGTAGAATTGCGTAACAAATACTTAGAGCAAATAACTATTATAGTCAAGAACAACGGCAAATTTTCTATTTGGACGAAACTTGGTATGACACTCACGACACAGTTACGAAAGGGTAGACTGATGGTTCGAGAATGTGTACGCCTAACATGCCTGCAAACAAAGGATCGCGACTAATCATTGTGCATTGCGGAGTAAGTAAAGGATGGGTTCCGAATTCTTTAAAATTATCTGGGAAAAACTTGAGGACTGCAATGTTGACAATCATAAGAACATGGAAGCTAATATTTTTGAGGAATGGTTTGAAAATACATTGATCTCAAGTTTGGATGCGAATAGTATAATAGTTCTTGACAACGCTTCCTATTAGTACTGAATGAAAATTTGAAGAAAAATGAAATACAAAGTTTTTTTAATGGATAACAATATGTATTTTGAAGATGACTATACCAAAAAACAACTAGGTACTTAAGTTTCACAGACAAAAGCATTTGAAAAAGTCTATGCCCTTGAGAGTATTGCTGAAAAGTATGGACACACCATACTGAGACTTCCCAACTATTTTTGTGTTTTCAATCCCATCGAGTTGATTTGGGGAAAATTGAAACAAAGCATGTGGCATAAAAATAATTTTCCAAAATTTGATAAGAAGATAATAGAGCTAGTTAAAGAAGAAGTATCTAATATTACCGAAGAAGACTGGTAGAAAAGGATTAAAAAAGTAATTTTAGTTGAAAAAGATTAAATGGAGATTGGACGCTTCCATATTAATGGTGAAACACAGAATATGGATGAGGAATTATCAGAAGCTTTCGAATAAAGTTAGTGAAGTGTTTTTCAAGCGATCGATTGTATATATATACAATACAACAAAATTAGTTAGCTCCCTAACTATATTATTAAAGGGGAACTATATCGTTTACTTGAACTATATTAAATAAGAAAAGGATGCTTCGAAAAATGAAGAACGATGTTCCTCAGTGATCTGTTGTAAATGTCCTCCCTTCGAACTATTGTAAGGCAAGGTACTTGGGTAGTCCAGTAGCCAGATCTTATTGACAAACATAGTAAACAAAACACGTTTAATCCATTTTAAAAAGTTACAATTCCCAATATGGAGGTATGTGCTTAAGGGAAACCGCTGTTATAAAACAAATGCATTGATTTTGCGTTTTTTGCAATTTTGTACACCATTCATGTGATAAACAAGGTTCTTAAACTATGTCAGCATGGTTAGTATGCGAGAGGACAAGAGAGTTGTGGTAGTGCCCAGATCCCGTTTGAAGGGATCAATAGTTTTTTCAAGGCTTAGGTAGGTTCTCTTTGCGACGATAGCTAATTGTTTGGAGAATTTGAGCTGTTGGTCAAAAATAACACCAAGACATTTAGCTTCAGAGACAGAAGGAATGAATTCATTATCAATATATACAGGGAATTCATCAAGGCGGCTTAAGTTGAAGGATGACCCAATAAGAATATTTCAGCCTTTTGCCGAGTTTAGGAGTAGAGGGTTTTCCTCGGTCCACCTATTTATGGTTGTAAGATCGTTGTTTATTTTTATCAATTTTTTTATAAGGCTAAACGTTTAAGTAGAGAAAATAGTTGTCGGCAAACATATGCAGATTACAATCTTCCATTAACTGCTGCAAGTTAGATGTAAAAATAGCAAGAGTGGGAGCGAGTACCGAATCCTGTGGTACGCCATTATTAACAATACGAGTGTCTGAAGTGAGTACTGTTAGGTGGATATTTACACTGACAAATTGTGGTCGGTTGAAGAGGTAGGCTTTGAGTCAGTCTGAAATTCGACCATTAAACCCATAATAGTAGAGTTTGGCGATTAGGCAGTAAAAATTAATAGTATCAAAAGTCTTTGATATATCCAATAGGGCAAGAGATATCACTTCTTGGTTGCTAGGGCTTTGAGAAAACTATATGTAATAGAACATAATGCGGATACTTTACTAGGTATGACCTTTACGGAAACTTGACTAGTTCGAAGGTAGAATATGCTGATCTTCAATAAAATCAATTAGGAATTTTTATTCCAAATTAGTCAAAAACAAATAACGAATACGAGAGGAACGAAACAAAAGCGGGTTCCCTACTATCAATGTTTTCTTTATTTCATTCATTTCCAGAACAAACTTGAATTGAAAGTTGCAAATTTCATATTATTTCCGTCGTTACAAGAAAATTTTATTGCTCCCGAAAGTTTTGATTTCGATTGTAGAACGTTAAATTTCTAATGAACTGACCGATAATCCTGCACAAAGAATGACCTTTACTACATAACATCAATATTTTCTCTCACATCTGTTTCTGCTTGTTGATAAAGATAGTTTATAATGTTTATGCAATTAACACTTTTAGTTCTCAACCCGATTTCCGTTCACATAATATTTATTTTTGGACCAATTATGCAATTATCCACAAATCCAAAGATAGATAACCTCATGTAGATTGTTTTTATCATGCAATGAGTTAGTATGTATCAAAAGTTCATTCTTTGTCTATATATTTCTGAGACCATATCTGAATCAAAGAAAAAAATCAATTCCAGGGTTATCTTTTTGTGGATCAACCGTAAATAATGAAAATAGAGTTTAACTAAAAATATGTGGGATGGGATTGAATCAGATAGTATACAAAATCCAATGAATTAGTAGATAGATATGTTGTGACCATCTCATAAAAATCTACACAATCTAAAAAGTGGAGATCATTTTGATCCAGTCTTGATATTTGTTTATTTTGTATGCTAAAAAGTGTTTATTTTTTAATTCTCAAAGATACAATTTGAAATTTGGGTGTTGGAATTTAGGATTTATATCATCGAAACTACTGCAAAATTTTACTTTCAATTGAATAGTCAGTATCCCTCTTCAGGTTAAGTATTCAAACTATATTCAAAATTCTTAATAATACATTGGAAACATGTTCTGAATTCATTAAACATTTGTTTTGTGTGCACTAATGGAGAGTATAGTAACTAAAAAAAAAGATCACCTGGTAGAATATCGTCAGAGTATCAACAGCGGAGGAACTGTACTTGACTGTGTTGTCGACGTGGACCAAAGTATCCAACTCCACGGCTTTCTCAATACGTTGAAGAGCCTTGTAAACAGCAATATCCAACCACTGCGCAACGCCACCATGGAACCACTGATGGAAATTCTTTATGTGAAAACTGTCGCAATCAGCAGGACATAACCCCGTTCCTAGGGTCGCAAATCTCTGCACAGCGAGATAAAGTTCAAACAGGGAAGTCCCTTCGGACAGAGGATCGATACCATTTTCAATGTTATTGGTTTCATAATTCAGTCTTTTCAGATTCTTGCAAATTTCCACGACCGCAGGTTCACACATTGTGGATATGCTTGATTGGTAGTACACATAGAGGGCTTTGGCGTACTGAAAATTAACCGTCCTGAAAATTGAATAAGTTTCTTAAGTTTGGTTGGTTGTTCTCAAATGTTCCAATATCGAAAGTAAAATATCTTAACAATGTGTTATCAAGTAACATAGTTAGGATTTCAATTAAATCTAACAAACATTTTTTGAGTTAGGATAAGATACCTCCCAAAACAAGGTGGACCTGTTCAAAAAATAAGGTGAATTTTATTTTTTCTCAAAAAGCATGTATTTATTCATCAATTTCTATTTTGTACCTTTCAAAGTAGTCCCCCTCAAGTATAATACACTTGTGCCAGCGTGTTTCCAATCCTGGAAGCAGTTCTGATACAAACGTTTTGGAATGTCTTGAGCTCCTTCAACGGAAAAGTCACCAGGATCAAATCTGGTGATTACAATGTTGTTTTTGGCCAAAAAATCATGAACAAGCAATGATGAGTGAGTAGGTGCATAATCGTGATTCAAAAGCCATTAATTGTTTTTCCACAATACCGGATATTTTTTTGTATTGCTTCTCGCAATAGAGTCTGCGGAGTTCGAAGAGAAAATCTCGATATTTAACCGTTTTTCCTCCTCTTTTCGGACGATATTCGTCTCGCCAGGAGCTGAAAACTCCACGACAAATATCGTCTTGCTCTGTTGGTCGAGAAGGACTACATCAGGCTCATACAGGCTGCAGACTCATACGCGACTGTGGTAGACTAAGGTGTTGAAGACACCATCCTGGCAAGCCATGATGAACCCCTCAGTTTCCGACTTCAGCCCACTCGACCTGAGGAAAGTAAAAGACAGGCGCTTTGATAAGCTAAGGTCGCCAATGTTATTGATGAAGACCCCATGCATTGGCTTATCCTTGTGTTTCTGGAGAAGTGAGGTTATCTCTGCGGCTTTTATATGAGTTTTTCACTGAACGGGTTCCAACTCGGTGACAGAGTTGTGGTCACCTCGTTCAGTGTCGAGAACTGTATCGAGTTCATCAGCTGCTCGGGCAGCTGCCCTGAAGAGAAATGCTCCAATTCCTGCTCTCTCATGGTCACGGACCATGCAGAGAAGGGTATCCGAACTCCTGACGACTTTACAGGCACTCCAAACTCGGCCTCCCTGTTGTCGGGGGAAGTACAACCGTGGAACGGACAAATTGGGATGCAAACTCCTATAGAGATGCATCATTTTTCGTGTCTATACGTCGAGTTGATACAGCTCCCCCGAGTCTACTTCACTACTCCAAACGCTAGTAGAGTAAGATTGGAACGGTAAGCATATTTGTTGCAGCAACTTTGTTCTTCCCCGACTGATACTTGCCGCTGAGAGAGAGTTTCACTGCTATTACCTCTTGTGAGTGGTGTTGCTCCACCCCGAGGTAAGTATATGTCTCTCCAGCATCCAAATGGTATAGGATGCTTCCATCTACGAGCTGCACATCATCTCCGTAGTCCCTGCATCGTTCTCTTTCGAGATGGACCATTGCACATTTGTCTATCCCGAATTTCATACCAATAGTATGCATGTACTCTTCCACCACCCTCAAGGACTGATGGAGATCCTTCTCTCCAGGGGCATAAAGTTTAAGATCATCCATATAAAACAAATGGGCGACCTTGTACCCGCCGTTTTCTGGGGGTGCCACAGTTATACCCTCGAGTATTTCTGAGCGCAACGGATACTGACAATAGGGAGATGCAGGAGAGAAGGGGACTGAGGAAATCACCCTGAAATACACCCCTTCTGAAAGTGACCCACCCTGTTTCGACTCTTGTTTGACCAGATGTTATGGTGAAGCGAGTTCGCCAAAGTGGTATCCGTTGTTCAATGCATCTCACTATTTTGTCGGGTACCGCAAGGCATCTGAGCAAATGCAAGATGAGCTCATGCGATATTGTATCAAATGCCTAACGGTAGTCGATCCAGGCCATAGAGAGGTTACGCTTATATTGTATCGAGTCCTACTCATTTATTATTATTATTATTGGTAGGACTGTAGCCTGGTATGTTGACCTGGGTGGTTTGCTCGACACACTCAATCGACCGCTGTGTGAACTGGTGGTTCGAACCGCAAGGTCTGTCTATCGATTTTCATTTCTTATCGTTCAACCCGTGTTAGCAATCACACGTTGAAAGGTAAGACCTTGTTAGTCCTTAGCTCGCACAAGTTTCGACTTTTGAGAGTTTGTAGTGGGCGACAGTTGGTTAACGGAAAACAAATTTAACAGATTGCATAAATTTTCTTTCTCTAACAGATTGCATACATTTTCTTTCTCTCAGTCTTTCTTTCAAAGTATTTGCGTAGTATGTCCTATATTATTGTTATAATTATTACTATTGCTTTTATCTTATCACAAATTATCATTCCAATTTTCCAATAATCATACTGTTTTTACTTACTCTTGGAAAATTTTATCATAATACTCAATCGCCTTCTGCAAATCACTCCGAACTAGCTGAATGATCTGTATGAGGTTCTGCAATTTAGATACGTCAGATTCGTCTGGCCGCTTATTATTTTCCAAAATATGGTCCAACCAATCGGATGCGCCCTTTACTACTGCATCGTTCAAGGTGGCGGGGATATTACAGTTGGGTTCTTCCCCAGAGTAACTTATCCACGGGTAAAGATTTTTCTGGAAGAGGTTCACATTCGACGGAGGCTCCAAAGAGTGAATACTATTGAGGATTTTCAAAACTTCTGTAACTTGCTTCATTGTTGTTTTCTCGTTGCTGTTTTTCTTGCGTATTTTTCTCACAACGCTGAAACATGAGGGTAACAATTTCTTTGTAGCATCCCAAAACAACTTGGTGTCTTCCTCTGATACCGAGCCTGTTTGCAACGGTTTTACAAGTTTATCGAGCAACTTGGAAAATAAGGTAAGGCTCAATGGATGGTTTTGGTGAATGAAAGAGTATACGCAGTACTGACATAAGGCCACTTCTGTTGGACCCATTCCAGATTGAGCAATGTGCTGAGTGAGAAGTTGTTCCCCTTGCGGGCTGAAGGATCCGCACCACCAGTGGGGAGCAACCTGCAAAGAATAACAGTACTGTTATTCCAAACCAAGTTATGTCACGACGTTTCGATTGTTAGTATCCAGTTAGTATTCCTCCGAGATCTGATTATAGATCATTCGAGTGCTTTCACCTATACCCTCTTCCCTCTGTCCACTTCATTGGTTTTAGCGATAGATGACCGTTTGACGGGAGTTGGTCGTTTCTTTCTTGATTAGAGGTTTCCATATGTTACGTATCGCTACGCTAGCTTGACTAAATGCGTTGTTGGACAACATATACGCGGCTTCTTTGAATTATCTCCTAAACCAGTGTTCCTCTTTATGGATGATTTCAGCTTGAGTCCACTTGATGATGTGTTGATGAGTCCAATCATGCTCTGCTATTCTGGTTGAGTGGAAGAGTAGCGTAAGCTAAACTCCGCCAGTATAAATAAAGACAATTTATTATTATTCCGGATTTGTTAGTTTCTCCTCGCTGTGTGTGTTTCTTGGGCTCAGCATTGCGAACTTTCAATGGCCTCTTAGATTCACCGATGTATGATTCTCCGCACTCGCAGGGTATCCGGTAAATGCAATTCTTGGAATCGCAATCCGCGTTTAGTGGTCTGGTTTTCGTGAGGCTGCTACGGATAGTCTTCTCAGATTTGAAGCAGGTCCTGATGTTATACTTGGACCCAATCCTTCTTGTCCTTTCCGATAATCCTCTGATGTAGGGAAGTACAAGTACTGGTTGTGGCGGCTTCTTTTCCTTGTGGAGGCTCTTGCTGTCTTCTAGCTAAAGCCTGTTCTACCATCACTCTGGAGTAACCATTCCGTTGAAGGTCATTTTTGATGATGCCTAGTTCCTTTTCAAGACCTTCCTTTGCATTACAGAGCCCGAAAGCACGGTCTAGTAGAGTCTTGATGACTCCTCTCTTCGTCGATTGATGGTGGTTGGATTTCTGGTTCAGATACAGATATAGCAAACTTTGGAAGTACGAACTGATGAAATAAGTCTTCCGGAAACTCTCACACTTTGTGAAACTTTCAAAAACAGCGTTAGAATAGAATTTGGGGTAACCTTTTGTTTGAACTTGAAAGTTTATATTGAAAAAGTATTTTTTATTCGCTTCTTGGGTGACATGAGTGCTCATTAAAGGTTTTTAGTGTATTGCACAACTTCCTTCTTCAATAGTAGATTTCAATAATTAGAAATATTCAAAAGAAAATTAATACGGAACTTGTACCTTGGACATTTCAAGTTCGTGCAGAAGAATGATCCTTAACATATGACGATACTCTTGTTCCGCAACTTGGCAGTTTTTCTCCGAACTGAAAGATACGCGCACTTTAAGTACTCCCTGGCGAGTGACTTTATTTTTCTTGTCTAAACTGTACCACATTGTCATTCCTGAGGCGGGAACAGTCTGAAACAACAAAAAATGAATAACAAACCCAAACGTTCAACACAGCATTAATTTATTATTTCTTTTATTAACTTACGCTGAGTGGGATTTGTGCCCTGCCGATTAGCTCATTTTCATGCTGTCCGGTTGTAGCTGTTACTGCAATTTCTTTCATTAGTTTTCGCATTCCCTTCACTCCTTTGACTTCAAATATTTTTCCCAATTTTTCTTTTACTGATTCGGCTGGATCGAAGTCCCATACTTCTAGGCATAATGTGTCTTCTAAAGTGTTCTCTGTGATAGGCCTGAAAAATTGGTGATTAAATAGTGACTGTGGAAATCAGGTTGCCAAGCTATTTGATCAACGGCATCTATGCAAGTCCTCACTTCCGATTGGTCCTCACGACGAAGCTAGTATCTCAAAGTCTCAACGACTGACTGGGGAGCTCCGTGTTCACTCGTATTTATTCTATTAAGGGGAGGGGGTGTGTTCATGCAAATGCTCACTCCTGATTGGCCTGCACTTGTGCTAGGTTGTTCTGTTTAGTCTATGCTGCTGGTAGAATGTCGATCGAAGTTGCATTCTAGTCTATGTTTGGCTTTCTTAAACACTAGATACCATGTTTTGTTAACCTGTATTCCTTCTTTTTTTCCGTTGAAATTGTTGGTATGCTTATGGATCTCAATCAGAGTATTGCACAATTGATAAGTTGGCTGTAAATTTACAGGATACAAGAGTACAAGTGAAGCTGTCGTCTTATGCAACCGAAGAAATCGGTAATTGCAAAATATATCTTAGCAGAAAAAACCACGTAGTAAAATACGAAGAAGATGCTGCCTTATCTAATACAACGCATTACTATGGGCGACTTCATTGGAAGGCCATTGAGATCTTATAAGTATCCCAACAATTTCAATAGAAAAGAAGAAAGTATATAGGTTAACAGAATGTGCTATGCAGTACTCAAAAAAGTCAAGAAGAAATGAACTAGAATGCAACTCCGATCGACATTCAACCAGCAGCGTACCTGCTGACAACGAGAAACAATCAGAACAACCTAGTACAAGTGCGGACCAATCAGGAGTGAAGATTCACATGGACCCACCCCACCTAACAGTCCCTCAGTTGAAAGGGTAAGGGAATGTTTTCCTACCTTATTTAAATGAAGATGACTATGCTGCTCTCCAGTCAGTGTTGCTGACACTTCGAGATATTAGCCCACATCCAGGATTATGTTTTTTTTTTATGAATTGCCATGAACTAACGCTTATACAAAAAGTTGACTACTGCGAGAGGCGTGAGTCAGAATTATAAATATATATTCCGTATTTCATTGATATTCAAATCGATTAGTGCAGGAACTGAGACGTCTTTGATGCGATTTTGCGAAATTTTTGAGTGAACTAGTGACTTTCTCAATCATTTATTTTCATAGGTGAATTTTGATACCATGGGTTACATTATTGCAATTTTCGTGGATCTCTAATTTTTTTAAATACATACTTGGACTAGTGCACTTTCTTTTTGAACGACAATTGTTACTAAGCTAATAACAATTCCAGGGTTATTCACGTTTCTGAGATATAACGATTCAAAAAGTTGTAAGAGTTGAAATCGACATTATATACATATGTTTTCACGCCAGATTTAGTTAAATGTGCTGAAGTTTTTAAAAAGAGTAATTCAACTCCACAGGAAGCTATCACCAACGGAGTTCGCTTTCTACTCTCTATGTATGGAGCTCCTGAAAAAACAACGTGAAACAAGTTTCGGTATGCATGTTTCATTAAAAATTCTCGAAATGAAAAACGAGTGCAATTAGCTTGTCTTCCTCCAACCTCAGCAGCTGCTCATCAACATCTTTTACGGGTATACTACCAAATTCAAGTGATGCTTTGTTATAAAAGACTGGGATTGGAAGTTGGTCAATAATAAATCAGAAACAGTTCAGACCTGCGCTGAAAAAACTGCTGAGCACAATTTTTGCAACTGTAAAAAGGGTGCTAAATGTGGTTGCAAGAAAGTTGGACTGTTTTGTTCTCTAGTATGTACAAATTGTCAAAGCCGGTCGTGCTCCAATGTTGGATCACCAACAGTTGAGGATTCATTTGATACCAACGAGGAGACATACGACGTATCACTATTGAGGCAATTTACTTGCACCCAGGTTGAAGAAGAACAAGGAGAAGAAGAAGAACAAAAAGAAGACGAAGCAGAAGTATTAGAGAGTTATGAATCAGACGAACGAATTTCCTTATTTTTATACACCGCTTTTATCATTTTCAACCCTTGCTGATATATTCCATTCAATAATTTCATATTGAAAAGAATCACAATAGATACGTGGAATAGGCCTACCGGGAAAACCACGCCACTTTAAAAAAAAGGCACTAAGTATACAACCTCAAAGGTGACGTGTGCATATTATGACAATTGGGTACAACTTTGAGTTCCATGGTGGAAGTGGTACTGGACGGACGTGCTGAAAACGTCCACCCACAAAGAAGGTACGCGGATGCCATGTGATATCGTGGGGCTCCTTTTTGTGTTGTATTAGTCCATTTTGTTAATTACTGAAATGTGTGAGTGTCTTTTATAAAAAGTAATGAATAAAGGGCCCCCTTTATTCACGCCGGTATCCAGTCCGGGGTGGTTCGGATAACCACGTAAAGGGGACTGTATATGTGGAAATAAAACCAAAAGGTTTCCCAAGCAGGAGGCGAATTCATAAAAATCAAATTGTTTTTATATTAAAAAAAAAGTTGACAAAAAATGAGTGGCAGCATTGCTTCGTGCAAGACCGCTGCGATCCCGACGAAGCTCCTCTCAACCAACAGGAGCATTGGTTATATGCGCCTAAAGATAGGAAGCAACGGCCATCCAAAATAGAGAGAGAGAGAGAGAGGTACAACTCTTCCAACTTTTTGAATCGTTATATCTCAGAAACGGTGACACTTTGGAAATCAAGTAATCATACATTTTTATAGATAATTATCTGATCTATAATTTTCGTTTGGACTAATTTTACGATAAACTGACCGTTTTGCTGAAAATCGCGCGAAAATCCCGTTTTGGTGACCTTTGACCCCGAGTAAATTTTTTTCCAGGTATCGGATTGATGAGGATTTTCAAGATTATATTTATGATAGTGTTTTGAACAATCCTACCAATTTTGAACTGGGTGCGAAATTTTGTACCTTCACTCATATTTTTTGGTCTAAATTGACCATTACCATTACTTACAGTGAAAAATGTTCTTCCCACACAGGATTCAGTGTCATAGTCTTCATGGAAGTATTGTATCTGTGCGCGGCATTGGAAGTCATATATAAAGTAACGAAAGGATCGCTCAAACCGTTCGAATCTTTCGGTTTCAAATCTTTTGCTTCGATCACCTCCACGTTCACCATCAGGTCTGGAGCTTCTTTCTTCTCTGCGATTTCCATGAAGTGTTTGTGCTTATCATTGGGTATTTTGAAGGCATCTTGTGCGTACGAAAATAAGGCAGTCTGTCCAATTTCATAGGCGACATCGCAGCCTACGTTGTGAAGAATTTCGTATAGAACCTCGCAGTAAAGCTCATCAATCTGAAATATAAATACAAATGACAGTTTATAACATCGAATTATTAATAATATAGCAACGATTCATTATAGATTCCTGTTGCTAGTTAGATTTGATTCACCTCATATTTTATTATTCTAAGAACCCAGTAAAAATATAACCGGCAAAAGATGAATTGATGAGGATTTCCTGATAATGAATCATAATAAATCAGGTTATTATCAATGAATAATTATAAACAAAGATAAATAGTTCTTTCAGCTACAACTTCTACCCTACCAAAGGTCCCACAAAATACAAGATGAATCTGTTACAAAATCTAGCCTTGGGCACTATTCCATCTCCCAAACCTGGTATAAGTATATATTCTAATGGAAAATATATTCGAATGCCTGATAGACTGATAGGCGTTAATACAGTATTTTAATCAAGGGGGAGGCAACTGCCACCCCGTGCCTCCCCCAAATCAAGCCTATTACTGATGGAGAGCGTGCAACAAAAATAAAATGTTTAGAACTGGTCTGCAAATGTTGGTATGGAAAACATATACATAGTCTCGTACGAAGTAATACTTTTAACAAAATCTTAAGAATTTGGAGTATACTGTTTAGTAATTTTTTACATAAAAAATGTATCTTCACTCGGATGTGTGATGAAATTTCACGTAAGACGTTTCTCACTGATTTCAATGAGTTAATAACCAATAACCGACTATTTTTGTTTTTCTGTAGCAAATTATCTCGGTGGTGGTTATTTCTCCACCAAATGACTTCCGGTAAGCTGGATAAGTTTATCGAATTTGTTAATTCCATCCACCCTTCGATTAAATTCACGACTGATAACTCTATAAATTTTTGGACTTGACCATCACTAGAATTAAAAATAAACATGATTTTGCAATTTTCCACAAAACATCTTACACGGACATCACTTTAAACAATCCATTTATACGAGGTCCGGCTATTAAATAACGAGACTGGTTACGAAAAATGGTTTTATTATAAAAAATATTCTACATTCGAATGCTCCCCTTCCATATACTCCCCCCGTTTCGCCACCTACGTTTCCATACGTTTTTTCCATTGATCGAAGAAGTGCTGGAAGTCTTCTTTGGTGAGGGACTTTAGGAGCTCTGCCATTTTTTGCTTTACCTCTTCCGTCGACTCAAATCAGGTCCCTTTCGAAGCAGCTTTTATCTTCAGAAACAAAAAAAATCGCACGGTGCCAAATCTGGCGAGTACGGAGCGTTTTCGAGCACTGGAGTCCGTTCAGCGGCCAAATACCGCTTCACAGACAGCGCGTTATGGGCAGGTGCGTTGTCCTGGTCCAAAATCCACGAGTTGTTTTTCCACAACTCGGGCCGTTTCTCACGAACTCGTTCTCGCAGTGTTGCCAAAACTGACAAATAGTAAGTCTGGTTGACAGTCTGACCCTCTGGAATCCATTCAGTTATCACGATACCGCGTTAATGTCGAAAAAAACGATCAACATTGCCTTAAATTTTGATTTGGACATCCTTGCTTTTTTGATTCTGGGCAATTCAGACGTCTTCCAATGCATAGATTGCCGCTTTGTTTCAACATCGTATGGAAAAATCCACGTTTCGTCGCAAGTAGTAACGTTTTTCATCAGTACGGGATCTTCTTCTAACCTTTCATGGAAATCTGGGCAGACCTGTTGAAGCAAGAGCTTTTGGTCATGAGTCAAGTTTTCTGGCACCAATTTCGCACAGACTTTTATCATGTGTAATTCCTCTTGTAAAATTTTTGTAACCGTTTCTTTATCGGCGTTTGCAGCCTCAGCAATCATTCGGATGCTCATTCGACGATCTGCACGCACAATTTGGTTGATTTTGGTCATTGTTTCCGGAGTTGAAACAGTGACTGGGAGACTTGGGCGCTGGTCATCTTCAGTGTTCTCTCGGCCCTCACTGAAGCGCTGGCACCACTCAAAAACACGCACACGAGATAGAGAGTTCTCCCCATAGGCCTCTTGCAACAATTTATTACACTCAGTCGGAGTCTTTTCAATTTAACGAGAAATTTGTGATTGAAATGTTGCTTCTGTTTTTCGTCACACATGGTTTTCAGCACGAGAAAAAAACACATTCGTTTCAAACAGCTATGGCACAAATACTATAATAGTGAGGAAAACATGTTTTGGTACGTGAATATAGAAGATTTCCAGAAACCCAATGCACTACTCGTTTTTTCCCCACCCCTCTAGGCGCGCAATCTCGATATTTAATAGACGGACCTCGTACAACATAGCGTTATTCAATAGTATGATTCACACACTATTGAATATTCCAGAACTTTCCAGAAAGCAAAGAGAACTGATTTTCATGAAACATATTGAACCAGGTCGATCCAGTTTCAAAGAATGATACTCTAATTCTAACTTTATACAGATGGATGGAAGACCAAACATGGAACGGGAGCTGGAATATACCGAGCGGATAGAAATCTAAACTACAGCTAGGACTATACACATCCGTTTTTCAGGCGGAAGTGTATGCTATCTTGCAGTGTGCAAGGCTTATCAAATTGAGACCTCAAAGAAATGAGCGGATCAATATTTTTACAGACAGCAAGAGCGCACTAAAGGCTCTGACATACCCGAAGGTGACATCAAAACTGGTCTGGGAATGCCATGAAGAACTGAATGAACTTGCAAACAGAAACAAATTAACTTTGTACTGGGTGCCAGGGCATTCAGGAATCACAGGTAATGATAAAGCTGATGAATGCGCAAGACGCGGATCATCAACTTCATATGTAGGTCATGAACCAGCTCTGGGGGTACCAAAAACAATGGTACGAAACCAGATTAGGACATGGACCAATAAGAAGCATACAGAGTACTGGACAAAAGTACCTGGCAATAAACACAGTAGAACCTTCATTAGGGAACCGTCCGAGAAAAGAACCGAAGAACTACTTTAATATAGTAGGGATCGACTCAGAATAATTATAGGGTTACTAACCGGTCATTGTCCGCTCAGAGGAAACCTGAATAAAATGGGGCTGTACAACGGAGACCTCAGCAGCAGATTATGCAACGAAGGGATAGAAACAGCTCTACAAATCTTATGCGAATGTGAGGCACTGAATCACAGGAGGCAGGCAATATATTGACGTACAAAATTACGCCCAGAAGAATATGAAGAACATCCAACACGGAACCTGTACAAACTAGTACAGGGAACGAGACTGATGGAATGGGTGTCATGAGAAGATGGGAGAATAAACGCAATACGCCCAAGAGGCTGCAGTGTTTTCTGGAGACTTGGACTGAATGGACAAGTCAGACAGCTACCAAGGTACAAAAAAAAACTCTTAACTTTGGTGATCCTACTAATAATATCGCTCGTTTTTTTTTAAACAAAAAATTGGACGTAGCCTACAGAAAATTTGGGTATATAAGTTGACTTGTGGTTCTTGTATGCACTGCGATTCTTGTCTAAAATTTAATATTGGACACACGGGAACATCTTCCAAAAGAATAAAAAAGAATAAAAGTAGTTTTTTGAATGGAAAGACCAATCCAACATTCGCGAATCATCTTTTGATAAAGAGACTCGAGTTCAATCACGATTATGACGTATTGCATTTGGAAGAGGAAGGTTCAAAACTCGACCTTTTGAAATGTTTAGAAATCAATAGATGTAAAAATTAGGGATTATTGCTCAATAATCAAAAAGATTTGAACATCATCGACCTAAAGTCAATGATATTCCATAATTGAAAATCGGAATTCTTTCAGAGTATTTCATTCCTCTTCCTAAGTTGGAGCGAAACAACAAAATGTCACTCCATCTAGTGGACGAGGTACTAACCAACTGCATATCTGTAATTTGCCCGATTTCTCTGAGAAAGAAAGAAAAACTTTCTTTTTAGTCAGTGGGCTATACTTTCGGATTTAATCCAACGCCCGTGGTCTATGCTGTCGGATATAATCCAACGCCCTTCGTGGTATTAGCCAGGGGAGTAGTTGTTTTTTGATAGGCGTCAGTCCATTTAACCTACTGTGTAGGTATATTAGAGAGTGGCTTGAACGTTTAAAGTTCATTACTTCAGATTTGTTTAGTGCCAGTCTTCAAGCATAGCCCACTGACTAATAAGAAATATCGATTAGTTCTATCATCATATTTAAATGACATATTTCAAAACATTTTCACTTGTCAGACAAAGCAGCTTCTTATCTTTCGAATTTCAAGATTTATTTTCACATATAGTCAGTGGGCATACTTGAAGACTGGCTATAAATGAAATCATCTAACTGAAGGAACATTTTATTCAGGCTAGTCTCAACTCCCTACACTGTAGATTGGATATAATCCAACGCCCTTCGTGGTATTAGCCAGGGGTTGAGACTGGCCTGAATAAATTGTTCCTTCAGATGATTTGGTTCAAGATTTATTGAAGAGATGTATTATTAAATGCTGCTAGAAATATTGAATTGTGTGGAGGCACTTGTGAAATGTTCCACCGCATCAAGATACGAAAAGGTGGCATAGGTACACCGCAATGTATATGTTTGAGGAGCTTTTATAGAGGTAGAAACATTGAAGTGCTGGTAGAGAAAGATTGATTCTGTGGAATTATTTCACGAAATTGGGATACAAAGGAAGACAGATGAGCTCAACGTTTACTTTGGAGGACCTTTTATAGGAAAATATACTCTAACCACATTCTCACCATCTTGTGCTTATTATAACAAAATTGAAAACGTACATTCACGGAAAACTGAATGTTCAGAAAAGATAAAAGAAGCAATATTGAGCAAGGGAACATAAAGAAGTCGGTTGGGGCTAGATCTGATGATCAAGCAGTTCCAACCATTATTCGTGGATCTTCGCCATGCCAACCGTTGAGGTGTGAGATGGTTCGTTGTCTTGGTGAAACAAGTTTTTCTTTTTCTGCCAATGTGGCCGTTTCTCCGCGAGTTCTGCCTTCAGCTTGTCAAGTAATGATGCATAGTATGCTCTTTCAATGGGTTTCCTTTTTAAAGATAATCAATT